AAAAAGTCTACAGGGATGCCTGGGTGGCTCAGTTAGTTAAGCAGCTGCCTTCGGCTCAGGTCATGATCCCAGCGTCCTGGGATCGAATCCCACATCAGGCTCCTTGCTTGGCGGGGAGCCTGCTTCTCCCTCTGCCTCTGCTGCCACTCGGCCTGCCTGTGCTCGCTCTCTCTCTCTCTATGGCAAATAAATAAATAAAATCTAAAAAAAAAAGTCTACAAATGCTGATTAATTCCCAACCCAATCTACAGAAGCCTATTTAAGTTATGGTGTGCCTAAAAATTTTATTTTTCAATCATACTTAGTCATCCTTCATAGCTGTCATACAAAATGCTTTCAGAGCTCCAACTTGAAAGCCCCTATTTCATCACCCTCCTGGGGTATGACATATTCCTATGCCCCAGATACTTGTTCCCTTTCTGTATCAGTCTAAAAGAGAGTACAACCCCTCACAAACATGACTGTTTGTAGGGACATGGGAGAAGTGGCCTGGTGTAAAACAACAGATGTGCACTCCACGTATGGACGACAGGTAGAACACCTGCCAAATTGCTCTGCCTTTTAAAATACAGCGCAGGCCTCACAAAATGACCAAAGACAGAAAGCTTTGTCATCCCTCCCTAGAGTCATCCATCTCCAGGTGTTCTGGTTGGGAAGTGGGGGAGCAGAGAAAGGATCATTTCCCCCACAAGCCACAGGGCCCAAGATCCAGACTCTTCTGCCATTATATGTTCATACTGGATTCACAGGCTGTGAATTGAAAGTATTCACGGATTGCGGACTCCCTGCCTCTGAGAGTCAGCATGAGAGCACATGTTCCGGAGTTAAGCCCACAAAGGTATGAATCCGAACTCCACATTGTACTAGTAGCCTTCTGTGCCTCTTTTCTCCACTTTAGAGGGTTTGCTGTGAGGATTAAGTGACAGGGTGTATAAAAGCCTCTAGTTTAGCACCTGACTCATAGTAGGCAGTATTTCGTAAATGTGAATAAAACGCCTCTTGCCCCTCTGAGGATAGTCACAATTTTATGTATCAACAGGTACCCAAGGCGTATCTTTGAAGCTATGGCTCAGAAACCCCCTATAGCAGTCCCACAATGAACATGACAAAATGAGAACGGCATGACACAAAATAATGATACAAAAAACACCAAAGCAGTTACTTTAGCTACTTCGGTGCAGGTATCAGCACCTCATTTCCAGCTCCTGTCTTCCTCCCACAAACCTATGTCCATGAGATCCAAAGGATGATTTTTTCTAGAGAACTCATACTTAAGTAGAATTGAAAGGAAAAAAGTAGAACCCTTCAATATGTTACATATAATGAAAGAAAAATCAACTGCTATTCTGAAAATATGTATGTATCTCAGTTCTCATCATCTAGTATAAGGAATGAATTACGCTGCCTTTTATTTCCAAAATATTACAGAGTTTAAATACCATAAACTACAATTTAAAGTGTTAAATATTTAAAACCTATAAGGTTGATAGCAAATATTATATAGAAAAAGGCCTCATTTCTTAAACAGAAATATATTCATATGCAGAATAGTACGTAATTGTTAGATATTATCAGTCTTGCATGTAACTAACTTGTCATTTTAAACCACAAGTCATCAAGAAGCAATTAAGATGTAGTCTATTGCAATATGATGGTATTCAACAATGCACTTACCAAAAACATGCATCATTTTTCAGCGGCAATGCTATCAAATATCAACCCACAGAAAAACACAGGGGGAAAAAATGGATGGGTTAAAGAAAACCTAGTTTAAGTCTCCTATTAAATTTTTTAAAACTTTAGACTTGGGGGGTGCCTGGGTGGCTCAGTGGGTTAAAACCTCTGCCTTCGGCTCTGGTCATGATCCCAGGGTCCTGGGATCAAGCCCCACATCCAGCGGGGAGCCTGCTTCCTCCTCTCTCTCTGCCTGCCTCTCTGCCTACTTGTGATATCTGTCTGTCAAATAAATAAATAAATCTTAAAAAAAAAAAAACTTTAGAGTTGGCATATAAGGGAAGAAACACTATAGTAGAAAGAAGACTTTACAAAGATGTGTAAAGATAAATGTTATTGTCTTCGTCAGCTCAGAAGGAAATTATTTTCTCAACTAAAACCATGTTTTCACAAATTAGAGAGGGCAAGTTTACTGAAAACATTCCTTTTATTAATATACAAGACTTTTTTATTAATATACAAGATAGTCTGTTTCCTGGCATGATAGAGGAATGCACTATTCTGATTTGTCTAATATTCAAGTTAATAGAGAATTAGCAGTCAAATAATTAGAATAGAAACAATATCCTAAACTGAGCTGAAAATAATTTAATATTTGACGATTCACAATCTTTCAGGGGCTCAGAGTTATGATCATGAATGAATTATCACTATGTGAAGGCTGTTTGGAGCCATCAGAGAAAATTTAATAGTTTGATTAATGTAAAATGTACTAAAGCCTTTCTTTTCTGTGTATGTTTTAATGCAAATAAAAAGAATCCTTGGCCAAACTCTGAAGAATGCATTTTTCTCTCAGTATAGGCCACATGCTATACATTTCTTATATGAACTAGACCTTTTTTAGAGACTCTCTTTTTTATTTTGCTAAAGTGAAGCATGGGGAAGCAGATTCAAGATGTAAACAGAAAGGTCCTTATCTTAGAGATTGTGTGGAACAGAACCCCATCACCTGCTTCTTTCCCCACTGGAAGGGAATAAAATTCTCTGAGAACAGACCCTAAGGACCCATACCCATCAATTCACCTTCCAGTTTATTCCTGAAGATTAACAGACACATCACAATGATTTTGGACAACCCACTGGGAATCAAAAACATTTGGAGCAAATTTGAGAATATGAGGCCTGTAAACTTTAAATTTTATTATATAAATCAAGAACGTCAATAACTCACCACAGATATATACAGATACATATGCTTACATATGCATGGAATATTTCTGGAAGGATACTTAAGAAAGTGTTAGCAGCTATGGGGGCGGACTATGTAAGTGGGAGTGTGGAGTGACTGGGAGTCTTCCCTTCGTGCTCCTTCGTAACATTTGATTTTTTTTTTATCATATGCTTATATTACTTTTTCAATAAAACCTAATTTAAAATAGTAACAACAATGTGCTTCATTTTCTAGGATCTTTAATTATAAAGGCCATTTATTAAATGCTTATTCTACTATTAAATAGGAAAAAGATCAAGTTGATATTCTGTTGCCTCCCTCTTTTTTCCACAAAAAAAAACTTCAAAACAAAAGGAGCAAAATTAATCAGCAAGGGCACTTTTGAGAATATAAACCAGCACATAATACAACTTAAAAACTGCAAATTGAGTTGCAAGAATTTGTATATTCCTTACACTCTGTTACTTTTATTTTTTACAACACTAGAGAGGCCACTGTTTTTTATGGTGATATGTTTTAAACTATCCTTGGGCGTTTGTTTTCACACACACAGGACCTCGTGTTTTATCAATATCTTAGAATCCAAAATGTAATTGTTTCTTAATTGTGCTGTTTTTTAAGTTTCAAAATAATATGCTTTCTGACTCATGGGTTAAAAGAAAAAAAAAAAGTGATCATTTCCTTTTTATCAAATTCACACCCAGAATAGCACATTCCTTTTCACATAATCTAAAAGGCACAAAATAACAAAAACTACTATAAGTCATTTGCAACTACCACCCACTCTTCTTTTTATATAGAAATCTTCCTGTTGGTTTTAAACTTCCATGTGTCAGTGTTGGGGAAAAGCCTAGACAATACTTGGAGTTGGGTGGATGTACCGTGGGCACAGCCTTCCCACACTGGCAATGGAAGTTTGAGCCTAAGAAAGAGACATGCATTATGAGGTGGTTACACAGTTTAACCCTGAACAAGGGTCTTGAATGTATTAGCACACCAAGTAAACTGAAAATAGAAAGAAGTTCCAAGTCCATCTTTCACTATCATCTTTGGAATATATATATATATATATATAGTTTCATACAGACTACTTTCTCTACCAAAATCAATTTTAATCTCACATGTACATGATTACTCACATTCATTTATGCCAAGAGGCCCTTTTCCAAACCCTGGGAGAGAGCGACTTCCAGGATACCTTACCACATTTCATGCACCCAAAAGATGAAATTTTAAACAGGAAGTAAGCCCCAAGTGGAAGGAAGACAGAAAGAGATAAGGGAGAGAAAGGCTTACAAATTTCTGGCCAAACAGATGAAGAGAAATCTTGTCTGGTGGTTAAGGGGTGGGGAAGCATTTTCCCTGCATGCAGCGGTAACCTCAAAGACCTGGGATGATGCTTGGGGGATTCATTGCTTTCTGCAGGGCAGAAACTCTGGGCTCCACCATCGCTCTCCGCTTAGCCAGAGGGTCCACTGAAAACTCTGCTTGTCTACCGGGAAAGTTCACGCTTCTTGGGATTTCGGGACCGTCTGAGTCTTTGGGAAGGGGGCTGTTTGGGTTTTGGGTTTTGAGTTTTTGGGTGGTTTTTGTTGTTTTTGTTTTTTTTTTTGGTTTTTGGTTTTTGTGGGTTTTGTTTTGTTTTTTTGTTTTTCACTTGAGGATAAACCGTGCATTTCCTTTACCGTGCTGGGGGAGGGGGCGGGGGTAGGGGGAAGCTAACCTTTCTTTAGAGAGCAATGCACAACCATCCCGTGGTCTGCATTTACACTGACTCTTTCCTTCTTCCTTCCATCAACGGCTTAGTGAAGCTTTCAGAGAAAATGAGGGAAAGCATCCATCAAAACGCAAAGACGCAGAGCGGAACTTTTCCTCTGCTGTCAGGGGGAGAAAAAAAAAAAAAGTGACTTCTGCTTCTCACGGCCAAGAGCTGAGTCTGGGAACCTCCGGACGAGGAAGGAAGGTCTGGTAATGAGGGAGGTGGGAGAAAACAATGCCGAGCCCGCGATGCCTCCGGACACCGTGCATCCTGGCCGGATCCCCGACGCACTGAGCACCCACACCCACGCTCCTGGGGCGGCGCGGCCTCGCTTACCTTGATGATGCTGCTGCGCCGGGGGGTCGCCCGCACGGCCTCCAGGAGGCCCGCCTCGCTGTCCGCCGGAGCCCCCGCGGCACCCGGCAGCGCGACCCCGCTGCGACGGTCCCTCCACCGGCCCCCGGGGGCCCCAGCCACGCCTTCGCCCGAGGCGGCGTCCGGACCCACTCGGGGGTCGTCTTCACATCCGGCTGCGTCGGGCGGCGCGGGACCCTCCCTGCCCGCCGCGCCCTCGGCCATGGCCGGCGTTTCGGGCTCTCCGGGGGAGACGGCACGCCCGGCAGCGGAGTCCAGCCTCTGGGCACGAGCGCGCTCCTGCACCCGAAGGCGGCCCCGCCAGACTTTGTTTCACCGCCCGGGGGCGGCGGCGGCGGCAACTTTCTGGAGCGGAGACATCGCTCGGCTGGAGACGTCCGCGGGCTTCGGTCCGGGCGGCCGGCGGTCCGCAGGGGTACGGCGGCGGGAACGGGAAGGAGATGCGAGCGGGAGGGAGCAGAGGCGAAAAGGAGAGGGAGGTGTCCGAAACGTGATGCAGACGCCCGCTCCGCGCCAGACAAAAGGCACCCGGCGCCGGGCCGGGCGGCCTCGGAGGCCGGGACGTTCGCGGCCTGGGGGGAGGGAGCTGGCCGGAGCCGGACGCCCGCGGCCCGTCGCACCCGCCACCTGCCCGCGGAGCGCGGCGCAGCGGCCCCAGGAAGTGCGGCGGCGGCGGCGGCCTCCACTCCGCTCTGTTGTGACAGGGAGGGAAGACTTGTTTTGACAGCCCGTGGGGATTGGCAGGCGTCTGAGCCTCTTAGGAGCCTCGCGCCGCCGAGGAGGGTCGGCCCGACCAATCCCCACTGCGAAGGGGTGTGCCCGAGCGCGAAGAATGGAAGAATGTGTTCTGCGGCTGGGAGCCGGCCCGGCCCCGCTCGGGTGCTCGAGCGAAGGTGTGAGCGCGCGTGTGCGCACCCGCAGGCGCTCCGCGTACGCTTTAGGAAGTTTAGGTCTTCGAAATGGGCCCGAAGAGGCGACCAAATCCGGGGGCGGGGGAGGGAAATCTTCGGCCAGGCAAAGCCAAGCAGTGTGGAGGAAAGGGGTGTTGAGCCCGAGTGTCGAAGTGTTTGAGGGTGACAGAGCGCAGCTTCGCACCATCAGGGCTTTGCAGCCTCCCCCACCAACCCTTTGAAGTCAAGTCCACGTAGAGGTAAACGAGGGTGTCCTGCGGCCCTGGAGCTGAATAATTTGATTCAGGTTTCATAAAATGATCTTCGGTTCATTCTGCACTGCGAATAATCATAACAAGGCAAGGGGATCAGATAAAAAAGGCGAGGGTAGCGGGCAACTAAACCAGCTAAATCCCTCTGGAGAGTGTCTTCTAGCAGAGCATAGATATGCTGGGAGTTGGTTAAGTACAAAATGAGGTGGGGGATTTAGCCTATCCTAAAACATCCCTATTTGATAACGGTTCAACTTCCTCCCTCTAGATAATCCTATATAAACATATTTTGCTCGTTTCCAGCCAGTTAGCAACCAAGAAGAGAGAGATCTTTAGATAATGCAATGTCACTGAAATTTAACCACAGAATGTTCAGGTAGATGTAAAAGATGGCTGTGAGGTTCCATAGCAGGACAGAAGATGATGATTTCGTTTAAATACTTTTTAATACCCAAATCTATATTAAACCTTATTTATACCATTAATTATATTTTAATTATATTATAGCATTAATTATATTTTAATATTTTAATTATTAATAATTTGATAATTTGAGATGATACCCATTCCTTTGGCTGGCCAAGAACATCAGAAATACTTCAGGTTTTTAGACCCAGAATTTGTTAGAATTTCAGAAGTTTAGAGACTCAAGGAGATTAAGGGATCATCTCAGGCAGCCTTTCTATTTTACAGAGGAGTTGAAGGCCTGGGAAGCTTTAGTTTCCTGTCTACTACTTAGTGCAGGAGCTGAAATTAGAATCTGCTACTTAACTCCTCCTGTAATCTCCGCTACTTTATCTCCCTCCTCTGGGTCTGCAAGCAGTCAGAGCTGGCTAAGGCCCTTGGGAAGTTGCAGACTTGACATTTACCAACTTTTAGGTAAGTCTGAGAAACCTCAAGTCTACCTTTTCTTTAAATATAAATGCAGCCCAGTAATGAATGTACTGTAGATTAGCAACCTCTGGTTTTAGAACCAACACCACCCTCTAGTGAGAGTCTAAGAACTGCATCTGTAACAGCAAATAATCTCTTCTTTCCCTCTTATATGTTAAAGACAGAGAAACTCAATTAAAGTTTCCTTTTCAAGTGACCTGCCTTTATTACCCCCCAGAAGACAGTAAAAGGGCCCCCAGACTTAAAACAACCATGCGTGTCTTTCATCTTCACTAATTAGTTCAGGGGATCTGTTCCTCTCTTGTACGGGAAATATCTTTACTTGCTGTCCTCACAAATATAACCTATTTTAAGCTATCATTTTTTTCTTTGATATTCAACTACTATTATGTTTTACTTTTGTCTTTATGTGCTTATTTCAGAGCTTCATTTTTCTTTGTTACCCTCACAAAAATTCCATTCTTGGGTTGTCCTCCAAGAAATGTAAATGGCAGTTATCTTACTCATTATCTTGTTCTCCAATATTAATACTGTCTACAAAGACTTCCCATCCTATTGGCTTGTATATACAAATAATAATTTGTTTTTTAAACTATTAAAATTAGTGTCACCTTATTAACATTTAAAGTCAGTGATCTTCAAAAAAGAAGAAGCAGCAAAAGAAGCAGCAGCAGCTGCGAGAACGTATAGCATAAAAGTGTACAAATTTTTTTGTTTCAACTAGATGCTATCTAGTTGGACTTTCGCCTCTTCCCTCCTTTAGCAGACTTCTCTCTCACCCTTATGTAGAGGCAAACACACACACACAGTCTCAGCTTCTCTCTCTTTCAGACTCACTCTCTCACTCACACACACACGCACACACACATGCACACACATACACACCTCGTACTAAATCCTTTGTTCTGAGCCTCTGTTCATAAAGGCTATTATGTAATTCATTCTGCTTTGAGAAAATGGCTGGACCCTAGTCTAGTCTTTCATACTATTGTCTTCTAGTATAAACTCAGTAGGCTTTTCCTGATACTCATATTTGCAGTTTAAAAAAAAAAAAAGAGAGAGAGCCACCCATTGAATCTTCTTCTACCTGGGGACAGATTCTACTCTGGCCCCATTCCCAAGACTGAAAGGTTTAACTAGATTTGGTTAAATCAGCAACTATTGGCACATTCCTACCCCTCCATTAATAATCGCCCCTTTACAAATTAAGATCGCCCACAATTCTTGCTTCTTAAACTTTCACCAAATAAGACAGCAATCACTTGATTGGCAAATTAGAAGCTGGGGAGAGGGGGAGGGAAAGGATGAATAACAGTAATGAATAGTGATTCCAGTGTAACCACCACAGAAAGGTCCCCTTTGATCACAAATCTCAAGTTCTTTCAACCTCATACACACATCATATTATTCTGTTTTGCTCTCTCATAGAATTTCATCACTATGAATAAACTGTCTTGTCCATGGAATTGTTTACTTATATATTCTGTCTTACCTCCTATCTCTGCCCCCACTAAAATTGAGAAAGTCATCTCCATGTGCAAAAGTCCTTGTTCATTGCTTTATCCCCAGCTCCCAGAACCCTGCCTGGCAAAGAGTAGGTGCTCAATAAATATCCGTAGATGGAATCTTCACCTTTGCAATCCTCTGACTGAATAAAATCCACTTCTTATTTAAAAAAAAAAAAATGGCTCTGTCACTGCCCACACTATAGGACTTCTCATCTTCTGGGATCCTAGAACTCCATCCTAGGGCAGAAATCAGAACAGACCCAAAGCAAGCAGTTGCAAAAGTAGGAGGATGCTTATAAATTGGAATAACTTGAAATTGAGAATTAGACTGAAAGACAACTGACGAACCTAACCAGGTCCAGCAAACCTGAAAATACTTAGCCCAGAATCAATGAGCAGATTTGTCAATGTAGCTCTTCCAGCCCAGAGAAGTCACCCCAGAACCCTGGGCCTAGGAAAAATCCTGTGAGAATATTAAGACTTTCCGTACTCTACCAGAAAACCACAGCTGGGGAAGAGAACTGATAACTGCTTTCTATATGCCAGATAACCCTCTATGAAGTATTCTGATCTCCACTTTACAGACAAGGAAGGTAAGGATCAAAAGGGTCAATGAGCTTGCTCAGAGTTAGAGCCAAAAGGAAGTGATGGAACTAGGATGAGGCTCTCAGAAGGTGCGAGTCCAGTGAAGTCCTAGAGACTTCACCTGTTCTGAAGAGCCACTTCGCCAGTTCTAGAACCATTCACGTTCAGCATGATGGCCTCTCCTCTTGACATCAGCATTACCTCTATGTCATCATGGTGGAGTGTGAAGCTGACAGATTTATCGGTGTGTGAGGAAACACATTTATCCTCTAGTTCACATAAGTGTAAGAAAGGGTACTTTGACATTAAAAGTCAGTTCTCCTGGTAAGTTCAAAAATACATTGAATAGGAGTGTGGCATTTTCAACTGAGTCATATATATCCTTATATTAAGTCATAACACTCTCTAATATACACAGTAATCATTTTAATTTGTTAACTCAAGAAAACAATTTGCAGGGTAATTTGTAATATAAATATTGTAGTAGAATAAATATGTATGAAGGCAATAAAAGGTAAGCAAAACCAAATACATGTTCTTAAAATTCAAATGTTTTTTCTTCAAAGATATTCTTTTGTCCCTTATGTTAGCAATTAAGTAGGAAATTTCAGTAACTAAAACATAAAAGTCAACTAATTTTATGTAAAGGTACAAGTAATCCATGATAGTGGTCCTACAAAAATGAGAAATTACAAATTGTTTAGAATAGATCTAGATTCCTCAGGTTAATAAATCTTCAAAGTAATGAGAGGCATTACATTTAAGAAATCTTTAGTTACAGCCAATGTTCTTCAATGTTCTAAGGCTACTGCTTCCTTCCCATGTTGGGGAACTTCTACTACCTGCAGGAAAGCAGAATACTTGGGTGTCTGTCCATTAACACTGCCCTCTCAGGAATCATGTAGACCCGAAGGCTAATATACAGGATAAGGAGCCCCAGGCAAATCATCTGGGAACATTCTGTATGTGTAAGGCAAATGTCTTTTTAAAATAGGCAGTGTTAAAAATAATAATAATAAAAGAAAAGAGGAAGTCAGTGTTGATTTATTTTCCATGTATTAACTGACTTTGGATTTATTTTGGATTTATTTTCCATGTATTAACTGTCATAGATCCTGAAGATGGAGCTCATGTCATCATTATGGTCCACACTA